TGAAGATTCTCCAATTTTCTCCAACGTCCCGTGGTCGCACACCGAGTGAGATGCACCGCTGTCCACCAGTGCCTGGAGGCGTCGCCCGTTGCAGATCACCTCGAGTAGTAGTGGTTGTTGCTGCTCCGAGTAACCGTAGATGGTCTCGCTTATAGGATCGTAGGGTACGTCAAATAGAACATCCCTCGGTCCTGCGCTCGAAGCAGATGACTCCATATCAGTTTCCAACTGAGTAGGGTTGGAAGGATTTATCCGAGGCCGATTCAGCTTCGTCTTGGCCCGGAACCTTCCCATAAGCCTTTGCAGCTGTGTAGGTTTCTCCTGTGGGCAATGGGGAGCCTTAACACTATGCTGCGGGGAGAGAATATGAACTCCTTGGAACGCACGACCCTTTTCAACGCTCCGGAGTGGTTTGCCCAACTTCTCAAGTACCTGAATAATGTCTGAAGGCTTTTTCTTGTCCTTGAAATCTCCCCTGCATTTTTTAAAGGCTTGAAAACCACGAGAAGCAATATTCTTCGTTAGAGCATCTTTGTAGGATACTTTTAACGAATTCTTACTTTCGTGGGGGTCCGGCTGGAGTTTCCCGGTCGGTGCAGAGTCTTTTTTCGCGGAGCCACCAGTGGCCTCGGCGATTTCCCCTAATGCTGGCCAGTCGTGACGTTTTATATTCGCGCCATCATTTTCTCCTTTTTTCGCCCGTTCCGAAGTCGCCACGTCGTCGTGTGAAGAAAGGAACGTGAATGAAATGACAATGAATGAAGTGAGTACAAATAGGAAACCCTAGTTGGGTTGTACCCCCTATGGGATACCCCACTATAGCCTACACAAATAAGTAAGCTATAACATTCTGACACACCCCTATAGGCAAAGTGGGGGAGAACAAGGGGTCACAAGACCAGTCAAGCAAAACAAAGCAAAGCTCAGGGTGGATCACAAAGTCACCACACATTCCGAGCACAAGGTCAAGGGCCACAAGGCCAGTTCACATGCAAGACCATATATATAGAGATATACAAGAGTCAAGCAAGCAAGAGCAAGAGTATATATAGGTCGAGGTACAAGCAAGGTCAAGAAGTGAGCAAGTGAGGCAAGACAGGCACAAGGCCCAACTGCGTGCAGCAACGCTGATGATCACAAAGCGCAAGTGCCTTGGTGAAGACATCAGCAATGTTGGCCTCAGAGGCCACGTACGCAAGTCGCAACTGTCCACGCTGCTGTAGCTCACGAGCAAGAAAGTAGCGGAGAGCAATGTGCTTTGTCCTGTGCTCCAGTCGCTGCTCTCGACACAAGGCCAGCATGGCCTTGTTGTCTACGTACAGGACTGGAGGAGAACGAGGCGGCTCTCCAAGGTCGGTCAACAGGTAGGTGAGCCAGCGTAACTCCTGTGCAGCCATAGCCCCGGCGTAGATCTCAGCCTCACAACTGGAGCCGAGAACAGAAGACGAGCGGGTAGCCCGCCACGAAACAGAGCCGGAACCAAGGCTGAAGGTGTAACCCTGTGACGACCGCTGCGTAGCCTGGTCGTCAGCCCAAGAAGCGTCCGCGTGCCCAGTGAGGACCACTGGACTGCGCCCTCCAAGCACTAGCCCCATGCCCGACGTACTGCACAAGTAACGCAACACCCTCTTCGCTGCAGCCATGTGCTCTGGTCGGTGTCTCCCAGGAGCAACATAGCGTGCGAGAATGCTAAGAGGGTATGCAAGGTCAGGTCGTGTGCAGGTCATCAGGTACATGAGGCAGCCAACAAGCTCTACATACGGGCCACTCGACTCTACGGACTCATCCGAAGGCAGAGCTGAGAGCGAGTGGCGAGTAGGCAGAGGAGTGGCCTGAGGCGAGGAGTACGTGAAGCCGAAGCGCTGAAGGACCTGCTGCACCATGTATGACTGAGTCAGGGTAATGGTGCGGCGTGCTCTGTCTCGGGTGATCTGCAAGCCAAGGTAGCTGCGCAGTTCACCCAGGTCAGTGCACGTGTGTCTCTTCTTTAGCTCGGACTTCACGTAGGCGAGTCCAGCAGTGTCAGCTGTGGCAAAGACCAAGTCGTCGACGTACACGAGGATGTAGAACGGCGGCAGAGAGGTGTCGGTGCGCAGAAACAGCGACGGGTCGGCTGTAGAAGGAGCAAACCCAAGTGCCGCCGGCGTAGTCCTCAGTGTGTCGTGCGACTCACGAGGCGCCTGGCGGAGACCGTAGACTGGACGCCGGAGACTCCACTGGGTACCAGGAGGGAAAGACCCAGTGAAGCCAGGTGGGCGACGCAGCCAGATCTCCTCGTGCAGGCTGCCCTGCAAGAAAGCTGTGCTGAAGTCGAGAGAGTGCAGCTCGTAGTCACGGTGAGCAGCAACGTGCAGCAGAACCCGAAGAGTGGTCATCTTCGGGGTGGGGGAGAAGGTCTGAAAGTAGTCAACCCCCTGCCGCTGACTGAAGCCACGAGCCACGTAACGCGCCTTGAAGATAGGCGGAGAACCCGGCGGCCGCTTCACCCTGAAAATCCACATGCCACTGACGATGTTCGCCCCAGGAGAGGGAACAGCGTCGACGTAGGTGCCTGTGGACTTCCAGGAAGCCATCTCTGCATCCATAGCTGCCTGCCACTGAGACGAGTAGGGACCCTCTATCGCCTCCGCGTAAGAGCGCGGAGTCGGGATGTCTAGTGCATCCGGGTCTCCCTCAGGGGCTAGCAGTACAGACGCGAGATGAGGTGAAGCGGCGGCCAGACACTGGAACTCCTCCTGCCTGTCCTCAAGGACGTCCGTGCCAAGGGCACACTCACCCCCGACGGACGGAGGACAGGCAGACTCAGACTCAGCGATAAGACTAGCAGCATAGTCTAGACGACAGCGCGCAGCAAAGTCGACGAGCTCAGTGACAAGGGCAGACGCAGCAGAAGACTCGAAAGAAGGGTCAGTGACAGCAGTAGCAAGGAGACGCGTGACAGTAGGACTGGCAGCACGAAGAGAGTCCGACTCCGGGTCGGCAAGAGCAGGAAGAGAGGAAGCAGGAGGAGAAGGCAAAGGGGTACGCAGAGGAGCAGTAGACGGACGCAGAGACATCCGGTGCGTGCCAGGGACAGGAGGAGGACGCTGACGCGAACCGCGACCACTAGCACGCGCAGTACGAACAGGCGACGCAGGACGAGACGCAGGCTCACGACGCTCAGTAAGACCTCCAGTCGGACCAGCGTAGGGAGAAGGAGCAGGCAAAGGTGAGGCAGGCTGTAGCTGTGACTGTGACGAGACAGGCTGTGGACCCTCTAAGGGAGGAGGAGGAGGACCAGGAGAAGGTGTAAGACCAAGAACCTGCTGCAGGAGCGGAACGAAATACGGCCGGGGCCGCGCGGCGACGCCAAAACCAGCAGGGACAGCACCAGAACCCCCAGCAGGAGTACCCGCTCCAGCAGCACCTCCAGTAGCTCCAGAACCTCCAGCAGTACCACCAGGAGCACCGCCAGTCGGACCTCCAGCGGCAGTCTCAGCGCCAACACCCTCAGCAGCACCAGCTCCAGGAGAACCCTCAGACCCAGCAGCTCCAGCACCCACAGTACGAGCACCTCCGGGACGCTCGGCAGCAGTACCCTCTGCAGCCGAAGAACCTCCAGTACCAGCAGCACGCCTCCAGCGCCTGGCAAACCACTCACGTAGCTCCTGTGGGGAGAGTGGCTCTCGGCGAGACGAAGCACCTCCAGGCGGAGCACCCCCAGTCTCAGCACCCCCAGGCTCAGCACCCCCAGGCTCAGCACCCCTAGGCTCAGCACCCCCAGGCTCAGCACCCCCAGGCTCGCACCCCCAGGCTCAGCACCCCCAGGCTCAGCACCTCCAGACTCCGCACCCCCAGGCTCAGCACTCTCAGGCGTAGCACCTCCAGTCTCAGCACCCCCAGGCTCAGCTCCCGCAGCAGCACCAGAGTCACCAGTGACCTTGACAGGCTCGACCGCGTCTACCTGGGACACACCTGAAGGGGCAGGACCCTGAGGGGGGAGGGGGTCTACCGGGGGGGGACCTGGTACCAAGAAGAGCGGGGGCGGGGGGAGGGACGGAGTGCGGTAGGGGAAGAGGCGGTAGTAGGGTACCGACTCGTCGAACGTGACATCCTGGGAGGACAGAACACGTCGAGAGGTGGGGTGGTAGAACTGCCACCCAGGGGCGTCGGGGGGGAACCCCAGGAAGACGCAGGGAGCAGCGCGAGGGGACAGCTTGTCCGCAGACAAGTCGCGGACAAACGCCCGAGATCCCCAGACCCGGAACGCCGACGCATCGCCAACCTTCCCCGTCCACAGCAGCGCTGGGGAGGTCTCCGGCCTGGAGACCCTGGGGTGGAGGTTGATCTGATGCGCTGCGTACCTGACCGCAAACGGCCACAGAAAATGGGGGGCAGCCGCATGCATCATGGACGTACGAGCGACGTCCATGACCATGCCAATGCGGCGCTCTGCAATCCCATTTTGCTGCGGGGAGTCCGGAAGCGTGAAGGTCTGGCGGATGCCTCGCGCACGACAGTAGGCACGCAGAAGGCCAGAGGAGAACTCTCCGCCTCTGTCCGAGTGCAGACGCAACACAGGAAAGTCCGAGCCAAAGCTCTGCCTGAGCTGGAGACGAGCTGCGCGGATCCAGTCGATCAGCACCTCTGTGACATCACCCTTGCTGCGCAAGGGGAAGACTGTGGTGTAACGCGAGTAGTCGTCAACCACCAACAGGAAGTAGCGCTCGTGACCGAGTCCACGGACGCGGGCAGGGCCCCACACGTCCATGTGAAGCGTCTGCAACGGAGCCTCTGTCGGAGGAAACTGGGAGGAGTGAGGGGCAGCACGCTGGCGCCCCTCGACACAGGGGACACAGGCAGGGCCAGGGCCATGAGGAAGGGGAGGTAGAGACCGGGGGAGACCAGACACAAGAAGACGGGAGGCCATGCCTCTGAGCCGAAGCAGAGAGGGGTGGCCAAGGCGGTGGTGCCAGAGGAGGGTCTCGTGAGACAGACGGCGACACGAACAGGGGGCAGACTCAGGACCAGACCTGGACGCTGCAGCAAACACCTGACCAGACGAAGGGACTCGACCAGACTCAGCACCTGGAGGAGAAGCAGTGGTCAGTGTGTACAGGCTCGACCCTGGCTGACGTGTAAACCTAGCCAGGTGACGACCCGTGCTAGCCTCTGTGCAGTGCGTCACTCGCTGACTAGCGGGGGTGAACTGGTGGACTCCCGCATCCTGTAGGTCAGCACCACTCACCAAGTTCGTAGAGAACGAGGGGAGGTAGAGACGAGACAGGGTGCCAGAGGGAGCCGCCGGACACGGGAGGACTGTGGAGAAGCGAGACAGGACAGGACCCCCAGAGGGGTCAGCCAGGGAAACCGCAACCGGCCGACTAAGCGGCGTAAGTGTGGTGCGGTCCCGAACGAAAGAGTGAGACGCTCCAGAGTCAAGAGTGAAGGTGTGGGAGGCCGAAGCCGACGCAGTACCTGAGAGTGCAGACGCACTAGTACCTGAGAGAGCAGTCTCACGAGCACCTGAGAGCACAGACGCACTGGCACCTAGAGCAGAAGCCTCACCAGCACCTAGAGCAGCAGTACCAATGCCCGGGTCGGGCGGGAAACACCGGTAACAGTCACCCTCCTCACTAATGGTCACAGCATACATGGCAGCAAGGATAGCATCAAAATCAAGATCAAAGCTAGCTACACCAGCCCTAGACAGCTCTCCCCAGCGGGGGATCTCCGCGGCCTCTGGGAACTGCTGACGCCAAGCGTCCGTCAGGCGGCCAAAGCAGCGCTGGGCGGGGTGGGCACCCCCACACTGCTCTCCAGTGCGGTCGCCAGTGCGGAGAACGTAGGTGCAGGGACCAAAACCCCCACCGCGCTGACGCTGCGTGTACCACTCACGGAGCTGCTGAGGGGTGGGGACGTCGCGAGAACGTTGCTGCTGTTGCTGCTGCTGCTGGCGCTGACCGCCACCAGTGCCGCTCCGCTGCGAAGCTCCACTCCGACCACCTCCACCTCCGCCACCCCCGCCTCCGCCTCCACCGCCCCCGCCTCCACCTCCACCGCCGCCACCTCCGCCACCTCCGCTACCACCGCCACCGCCGCCGCCACTCCCGCCGCCACGCTGCCACTAGCACCCCCGCCCCCACTACCACCTCCACCGCCACCCCCACTCCCTCCGCCGCCTCCACCTCCACCGCCACCGCCCCCACTGGCCCCACCCGCTCCCTTGCCCCCCTTGCCCTTACCAGAGCGGCGTCTCCCGCTAGGGGCAGACGCCGCACCGACCGACTCAAGACCAACGAGGTCGGCCGCAGCGGCAGAGGCGACAGAGGGCAGGAGAGGGGAAGGAGAACACCCCTCAAAGATGGGGGCGCGGGGGTCACCTCGAGAGGCTCCTACAGCAACTATGCTCTTCTCTGCTGCAAGAAGGGCCTTCTCGAGGCTGTCGACTGTGAGGGTGGTGGGACAGACCGCGAGGAAGTGGTCCCGGACTACACGAAGGGAGTCAGGGAGGCGAGTGACTAGGAAGTAGAGAGTGATGTACATGGGGGGGGGGTTCTTGGCGCAGAAGTCAGCAGGAAGTGCAGCGCGGTAGCGAGTGTCACTAGTGCGGCGGTGCGTGATGAGATCAGCGACAGTGGGAAAGGCGGCAAGGTCAGGGAAGAGGAAGGGGAGCATGAGGCGGCTCAGTGCAGCAGTGGCAGGGGAGGAGTACCGCGCAACTACAGCGTCGTACATGGTCTGAGCACTCTTGTACTGGCTAAAGTGCGCGCGCTCAGCGGTGGGCAGGTGGCGACGCACAGCAAGACGTGCAGCAGCATCGCGCGTGGCCCACTGAGAGAGAACAGTGGCGTCAGCATCAGCAGCAGGGGCAGGGACGGCGCCAGAGGTGAGGTCAAAGAGAGATAGACCGTCGGCCCTGTCGCACTGTAAAAACAGCTGCAGGTCGTCGAGCCAGACCTCAAAGTCAATGGCTCGACCCTCAGCGTCAAAAGCGAGGACACTGGGTGTAGCCATGACGACGACAGTGGCGCAGTGCAAGCAGTAGGGGAAGGGTACGCAGTGACAGCAGTGCAGTGCTCACCGGGCAGGGCAGGTCGGGCGGCTCGGGAGGAAGGTCGCCAGACGACACGGCCGCTAGGCTGCTGGGCGGCTCGGCTCCCGGGCGGCTCGGCTGCTGCTGGGCGGCTCGGCTGCTGCTGGGCGGCTCGGCGGCTCCTGGGCGGCTCGGCTGCTGCTGGGCGGCTCGGCGGCTCCGGGCGGCGCGGCTGCTGCTGGGAGGCTTGGCTGCTGCTGGGCGGCTCGGTGGCTCCTGGGCGGCTCGGTTGCTCCGGGCGGCTCGGCTGCTACTGGGCCGCGTAGGTAGGGCGGCCGGGCGGGCCGCAGGTAGGGCGGCGGGTAGGCCGCAAGTAGGGCGGCGGGACGGCCGCAGGTAGGGCGGCGGACGGCCGCAGGTAGGGCGGCGGGTAGGCCGCAGGTAGGGCGGCGGGACGGCCGCAGGTAGGGCAGCGTTCAGCCGCAGGTAGGGCGGCGGGTACGCCGCAGGTAGGGCGGCGGGACGGCCGCAGGTAGGGCGGCGGACGGCCGCAGGTAGGGCGGCGGGGAGGCCGCAGGTAGGGCGGCGGGTGGGCCGCGACAGAGTGGCGGGGCCGCTCGAAGGAGTGGCGGGGCCGCGACGAAGTGGCGGGGCCGCGCGAAGAGGCAGCGGGGCCGCGACTGGGTGGCGGGGCCGCGACGGAGTGGCGGGGCCGCTCGAAGGGGTGGCGGGGCCGCGACGGAGTGGCGGGGCCGCGACGGAACGGCGGGGCCGCTAGCAAGGGCGGCGGGTGGGCCGCTAAGGTAGGGCGACGGCTGGGCCGCGAGTAGGGCGGCGGTCGGGCCGCGAAGTAGGGCGGCGGGGCCGCGAAGGAACAGGGCGACTCGAAGGGTCGCTAAAAAAAAGGCGCGCGCCTCGGGCGCGCTTCGGTGGGCCCTAAAGAACAGTCCCTAGGATGGGACCTGCTCTGATTCCATGTGAAGAAAGGAACGTGAATGAAATGACTATGAATGAAGTTAGTACAAATAGGAAACCCTAGTTGGGTTGTACCCCCTATGGGATACCCCACTATAGCCTACACAAATAAGTTGTCAAAAGTTAGAAGAAGAAAGAGGATTGAACTAGCAAGAATGAGGATACAAATAGCAAACCCTAGAAGGGTTGTACTCGCTATAGAGCACCCCACTACAGGCTAGAACAATAAGATAATATTCTGACACACCCCCATAGCCAAAGTGGGGTGTAATCAGCAGAGCAGGCAAAGCAAAAACAAGCTCAGGGTGGATCACAATGTCACCACACATTCTGAGCACAAGTTCAAGAAGAAATAGTTTAGAGTGTACAATTATAAGCAAAGCTAGTGGTAGTCACAACGGGCAAGTGAGGAGGAGGAGGGAGAGTGAGGGGAGAGGAGACAGGAGGCGACGACTGCAGCTGCAGACACACGGGCAACAGGAGGCAGACTGGCACAGCGGCTACCGGACAGCGCCCGGACTACAGGAGTAACAGGCCCCGCGGCTCAAATAGCGGCGGACGGGCAACGGACCCACGGGCGGCTGGCACAGCTGGCTACGACTGGGCTACCGGGACAGCGCCCCGGACTACAGGTCCTGCTGACGACAGACTGGCAACCTCCGCTCATCCTCCCACACACAGTCCCACCCCCCTGATACACACCCACTGCTACACCACTAGCTCTACTCCCACGCACCCCCCTTAAACCCTAAACCTAGTCTCCCACACAACCACCCCCCTCAGCGACAGCTGCAGCAGTGGGAGACGAAGGAGGAGGAGGAGAAAGGGAGGAAGGCACACCGACCACCCCCATACCCGCCACCCCACAGCTCGCCCCTCAGGTCGTCCGTCGTGGCGACCTGAGGGGGCCGCTTGCGGCCCCCGAAGGAGCCGCGACGGGCGACGGGAATTGGGGGGGAGGGGAGAAAAAGGGGGGGGGGGGGGGGGGGGGGGGGGGGGGGGGGACGGGGCCGGGGCCGCGACGAGGGGCGGGGCCGCGACGGTCGGGGCGGGGCCGCGACATAGGGCGGGGCCGCGACGTAGGGCGGGGCCGCGACATAGGGCGGGGCCGCAACGTTGGGCGGGGCCGCGAAGGTAGGGCGGGGCCGAGCCGGGCAGGCGCACGGGCGGCGACGGGCCGGGGCGGGGCCGCGACGTAGAGCGGGGCCGAGCCGGGCAGGCGCACGGGCGGCGACGGGCCGGGGCAGGGCCGCGACGTAGAGCGGGGCCGAGCCGGGCAGGCGCACGGGCGGCGACGGGCCGGGGCGGGGCCGCGACGAAGGGCGGGGCCGAGCCGGGCAGGCGCACGGGCGGCGACGGGCCGGGGCGGGGCCGCGACGAAGACGAGAAGCCCGCCGCGCGCCCCGGGGCGCACAGCGGGCAATGAACCGCCGCGCGCCTCGGGGCGCACGGCGGGCAGAAAACCGCCGCGCGCCTCGGGGCGCACGGCGGGATGAAAACCGCCGCGCGCCTCGGGGCGCACGGCGGGATGAAAAAGTAGCAGCGGAAGCAAGGTGGGGACACACCCACAGGATCGATCCAAGGGGATCGACCTGCTGTGATAGCATGTCAAAAGTTAGAAGAAGAAAGAGGATTGAACTAGCAAGAATGAGGATACAAATAGCAAACCCTAGAAGGGTTGTACTCGCTATAGAGCACCCCACTACAGGCTAGAACAATAAGATAATATTCTGACATAAGTAAGCTATAACATTCTGACACGTCGCCCTTTTTCGCTTTTCGGATCTTTACGCGATCGCCAGTTCGATCCGTGACAACTGGCGATTCCCGTTTTTTGACTTCGGGGGTGCTCCACTGTTACCGTCCTGCATGATCGCACGTACTTTCTTCAACTTGTAGCACGACAAAATCTGATGCCCTGCTGCGCCGCAAAATTCGCATTTGGTCGGCTGCCGCTTCGCGTCGAATTTGTCGATATCCATTGGTTCGGCGAACATGGGGGGTGCCGATCGCTCCGTGCTGAATGTACGGTTCGGCGTGAAACGTCGTGTTTCAGGTTGACTTCGGGTCAGCGCGTCGTAACGCTCGGCTGCACGCACGATGTCCCTGTAGCTTTCGTGATTTGACGCGATCACCTGCCGCTGAACCCCCAATTTTAACCCTTCTGTATATGCCGTGATTTTTTCGCCTTCGGTCAGGTCGGGGATGCGGGTGAGCAGGAGCTCCATCTGCTGCGTGTACTGCGCTACACTACCGTACTGCTTGTGCCGATGAATTTGTTGCCGCGCCATATAGGTAGTATTAACCGGTTCGAAACGCCCGATAAATTCTGCCCGAAACTGCTGCCACGTTTTCTCCCCGCGGGCCACGTCAGTGTTGTAGATCCACTCGAGTGCTGGTCCACGTAGCAGTGTTGCTGCGAGCCGGATTCGTGTTGCGTCGTATGTCGGGGTCGAACAGCCAATGGCCTCGAAGTAGATCTCGAGGATTGCCACAAAACGCCAGACGTCGGTTCCCTTTGCGCTTGGATCAAACGCTTCCGGGAGCCTCGGTCGTGCTGCTTCGAGGTTCGGCGTTGGTGGTGCCATTGGGCCGTGAAATATCGGTGTCGCCACTGCTGTTGGAATTGTCGGTGTTGCAGTGGTTGCAGTCGCTGCTGCTGTCGTGGCGAGCGCCGGGTGGCTTGTTAAAAAAGCCTCGAGTCGACGAAGCGTCGCCTGCGTCTGCTCCATGTCGGTGCGGAGGCTCGCGACGTCGCTCATGGTCGCGTAGTTGTCGCCACTGCTGTTGGAATTGTCACCGTTTTCCTCCATTTGGGGATTTATAGGAAGATTTGCGACGAAAATAAATGAATTTCAGGCGCTGGTCATCTTACTGTGAGTCGAGTTGACTGCAGAAATGACGAGGGCTGTTTCTGTAGGTCGCGTTATTCTCCCTTAGTCGAAATTCGCGTCTGATCTCGGCCGTTGAGAAGAAATTCGATCCGACGCTCCAAACTCCAACTTTTTTGGGCGAAATTCTCAGGGCCGTTGAGATTCGAATCGATCCGACGGTCGAAATTCCAACTTTTTCGCTACTGGACCTGAGGAGTGTTCAAAAACCGGTTCGAGGGGGACGTTAGAAAATGGCGCGGAACTGGTTTTACATACCCGTATCGGCGCTTTCGATGTCGCCCCCGCGGTTTTTTAAAGGCCGGAACTAAGCGGTTGAAGACCTCGCGTGTAAACCTGCTCTGATTCCCAAGTGTGAGGATCTAGGATCGAGCTCAGAAAAGAGAATGAAATTGAATAGAATTGAATACTCACCTGGGTACAACACGAGGCTATATATAGGCTCGACACAAGGCCCCGTAACCAGGTGTTACGCGAAGGTTCCGCGGGTCGCGTAGCGTCCCGAACAGACCCTTACCGAATTCGGTAGAAGGCAATTCGGTGGCAACCGAAAAGGCCAGAATTCGGTGCACGCAACCTAGCTTGGTGCTATAACTATAATAATATATAGGAAAGCACCTAGCCTAGGAAATCAAGCAATTCATGCATGCATATGATTATCCTATGCTAGAAATAGCATAATAAAGTAGAGGCAAGCAAGCATAGCAGGCATAAGCCGTCGTACTCTCACACCAGATATTTCCTTCTTTGATACAGTGACCTGCACTTGTCTCGAAGGCCGTTGCACCTCATCGGCCTCAATGATCAGCGGTGTAGTAGGAAGCTTCTGCTGCTGCTGCTTCCACTCCTTGTAGTACAAGGACTCAAGGAACTTCACATCCCTCGACACAGTCGGCTGCTGGCTGGTCAAGTCCCAAATCAGCCAGCCTTTGTGATCCTTAGCAAGCCCCAAGTGCACACCCCATCTCCCAGAAGCTTCCAGTTTTCCCCTCTTCTCCTTAGGCACATGAAACACCACCATGCACTTATAGGCTCTCAGCATGTTGACAGCTGGTGCACTCCCATACCACATGGTGAAGGGGACCCACTGCTTGTCCCCCACAGTTGCCAGCACC